TCAATAAAGAGCATTAAATGGTGGAGTGCAGGTGTTTGACGATAACTGTCTGTGTGATAGCAAAGCAAAGTATCAGCTGTGTGTGCCCCAGTAGCTGCATCTCTATACCAGCCTTTCCAGTGCAACTCAAAGCAGATCCTGAATATCATATTAAATTCTAAAACCAGAATCACAGTGATAAGCCATACAACCCATATATTCCAGGTACAAACTGACAGTCATCAGCAGCCTTTCAAGGCTAAAAGAAGGTAGGAAGAAATTCCCAGTTTAAATATAAGGTTTTAAAAAGAAAAGCCTATTGGTGTATTTGTCAAATTGCACCCTCATCCAAACTTGCCAGAAACTAGTTTTGAGAATGTAACAGAAACAAATAAGAACTTAATTTTTGGGCTCCACATTGGGATCCGGAAAGTTTTAAGAGAATTAATTTAATATGACTTAATTCTGCTCTAACATTTTTCAGTTGTATGGATGTAGTAAGATTGCAGCCTTTATTTCCACAGTTTTAAATATGACTCCTTGTAGCTTTTTTAAAAAATGAACTATTTTAGTGAATCATGTGCTCCTGAAAGACATAGATCAGGGATGGGGAACCTAAGGCCCAGTGGCCAGATGCGATAAGATCATAGTTGGCACACAGATGTGAAACTATCATCTTTATTTTAATCTGTTTAATGCTAGTTATACCCTAAAGCTGGTTCCATTGCATGGGATTCCCATTGTAAGTTACATAAATAAATGGAACACTATCACACATATAAACACAAACACAAACGCACATACAAAAATCGGCATAAATAGTCTTTGTTGGATTTTCAGTTAAATCTTTTAGACAGATGAGAGAAGGGAAGCCAAGGAAACTAAACCTCTTTTCCTCCTCCACTGATGCTGCGGACTTGGGGCAGACAGGGAACCAGCTCCCCCACCCAAGTTAGAGCAGCCATTCGGTTGCTCTGACTAGCAGCACTGGAAGACTCCCTCAGAGTTCTACCACTCATGACTGTCAGGATACATTTTGTTCCAACTGTCTTCCCTCATGCCCCCAACATGCCTCCTCCTTGCTCTGGAACACCCTCCATGTGACTAAGGAGAGTGTTAGTGGCATAAAGTGGGCTACGTTGGCTTTTTTACCAGCTGAGCAGCATTCCCCTGTTCTGCATGATTAAAGCAGTTTTAAGTCTGTAATGCACCAGTGGAGCAATGCAAAGTAAGCTTATCTAAGTTTGAGGATATGGCTCTGTGTGAAGAACAATTCACTAATGGAGAATGATTTTAGCAGCAGGTCTTTTTGTGCCAAAATCAGAGAATAGCACTGTTTAAATTTTGATAAATGACTGCATGTTGTACTGCATGTAGATGGAAGCAGAATTTAATTTTGGCAGTGATGTTGACATGTACAGGTCACTTCAGTACAAGGATTTTAGATGGCAATTTTCAGCAATGGGAACAAACTCTGCAGGAACTGCACACAGAGCTATGTTTGATGACGGTGTACAGCTGCTGTGCTACAGGTCAGGTGGCAATCATAGGTTTTGAGAAGCGGATTTGCAGAAAGTGAGATCACTGGATGCCTTTGCTGTAGCTAAAGCAAAAGACTAAAATATGTAGAAGAATGTGTTTATTCCCTTTTATGAGGAAATATGTAAGAATGTCTTATTATTTCAAATAAGAATGAACAAACAATAAACACAGACTCTCTTTATGAATAACATAGCATATGAATAAATCAGTCTCTAAACTATATACTTTCTTATTTGTTATTACTGCCAACAATGAGTTATCACATTCTCTAATTTACATGGGGGTTGGTTTCCTTGCTGACACTAAAACACTTCCTGTGTATGTTCTAAATTTTCAAAGTGGCTAGCAGTCTTTATGTGTCTGAATTATTGGGTGCCAACCTGAAACATAGCAAAAAGCTTGGTTTTCAGAAGCCAGGGAGTGTATGTGCTCTAAACTAAATCCATACATTCATGAAAGACTCCTAAACTTTCTTCTGATTGTCTTCAGTTCCATTAAAGTGGATTTTTCTCTACCTGTAGCTGACACTGAGGGGAGAGAGGGATAAAATGAGGACTAAGGATGTGAACGGTTAACCTTACTGGGTGATGCTTACCGGTTACAGTTAACCAGTAGACTGGCCGATGGGCGAGGGCCACTCCAGCCCAGTTGAGCTGGAGCAGTTCCTCACCAGTTTCCTGGCCTGGCCAGAGTAGCCTGCTGCACAGCAGGCAGGAGGTGCTCCAGTGCAGCCAGAACAGGCCACTCCAGCTCAGCCAGCTCCTCCTAATTTTCCCTGTGTAAGCTGTTAACCAGTTAAACATAACATTTAACTGGTTAACTGATTAGATGGTATTTTACATCCCTAATAAGGACCTAATGCCTAAGGGTACATCTAGATAACAGGGCAAAAGTTGAATTAAGCTACACAACTGCAGCTATGTCAATTGCATAGATTAAGTCGAAATAGCTTATTTCAGCTTTTGGTGCAGTCTACAGAACAGGAAGTCCAAGTTAGAATACTCTTCCTCCGACTTCCCTTACTCCACGGAAAATGAGAGTTACAGGAGTTGGAGTAAGAAGTCTTCCAGCTTGACATCATTTTGACATTAGATTGAAATATCTGCTTGCTATGTAGACGCAGACTATGTTATTCCGAAACAACCCTCCTGTGACACAGCCTCAGAGTGCTGCTAAGAAAGTGGATTTTATTTCTTGGTGTCTGTCAAATGATTTTGGCCATGGTGACTAAGGTCAATAATCCTGTCACATGACGACTACTGTTACGGTAGAAAAACTGCCATCTTTTGACTCTTCTGAGCACTTTTATTTGTGTAGTGGGGACACCAATGATGGAACCATTGTGGCTACCAATCAATAAAGAGCATTAAATGGTGGAGTGCAGGTGTTTGACGATAACTGTCTGTGTGATAGCAAAGCAAAGTATCAGCTGTGTGTGCCCCAGTAGCTGCATCTCTATACCAGCCTTTCCAGTGCAACTCAAAGCAGATCCTGAATATCATATTAAATTCTAAAACCAGAATCACAGTGATAAGCCATACAACCCATATATTCCAGGTACAAACTGACAGTCATCAGCAGCCTTTCAAGGCTAAAAGAAGGTAGGAAGAAATTCCCAGTTTAAATATAAGGTTTTAAAAAGAAAAGCCTATTGGTGTATTTGTCAAATTGCACCCTCATCCAAACTTGCCAGAAACTAGTTTTGAGAATGTAACAGAAACAAATAAGAACTTAATTTTTGGGCTCCACATTGGGATCCGGAAAGTTTTAAGAGAATTAATTTAATATGACTTAATTCTGCTCTAACATTTTTCAGTTGTATGGATGTAGTAAGATTGCAGCCTTTATTTCCACAGTTTTAAATATGACTCCTTGTAGCTTTTTTAAAAAATGAACTATTTTAGTGAATCATGTGCTCCTGAAAGACATAGATCAGGGATGGGGAACCTAAGGCCCAGTGGCCAGATGCGATAAGATCATAGTTGGCACACAGATGTGAAACTATCATCTTTATTTTAATCTGTTTAATGCTAGTTATACCCTAAAGCTGGTTCCATTGCATGGGATTCCCATTGTAAGTTACATAAATAAATGGAACACTATCACACATATAAACACAAACACAAACGCACATACAAAAATCGGCATAAATAGTCTTTGTTGGATTTTCAGTTAAATCTTTTAGACAGATGAGAGAAGGGAAGCCAAGGAAACTAAACCTCTTTTCCTCCTCCACTGATGCTGCGGACTTGGGGCAGACAGGGAACCAGCTCCCCCACCCAAGTTAGAGCAGCCATTCGGTTGCTCTGACTAGCAGCACTGGAAGACTCCCTCAGAGTTCTACCACTCATGACTGTCAGGATACATTTTGTTCCAACTGTCTTCCCTCATGCCCCCAACATGCCTCCTCCTTGCTCTGGAACACCCTCCATGTGACTAAGGAGAGTGTTAGTGGCATAAAGTGGGCTACGTTGGCTTTTTTACCAGCTGAGCAGCATTCCCCTGTTCTGCATGATTAAAGCAGTTTTAAGTCTGTAATGCACCAGTGGAGCAATGCAAAGTAAGCTTATCTAAGTTTGAGGATATGGCTCTGTGTGAAGAACAATTCACTAATGGAGAATGATTTTAGCAGCAGGTCTTTTTGTGCCAAAATCAGAGAATAGCACTGTTTAAATTTTGATAAATGACTGCATGTTGTACTGCATGTAGATGGAAGCAGAATTTAATTTTGGCAGTGATGTTGACATGTACAGGTCACTTCAGTACAAGGATTTTAGATGGCAATTTTCAGCAATGGGAACAAACTCTGCAGGAACTGCACACAGAGCTATGTTTGATGACGGTGTACAGCTGCTGTGCTACAGGTCAGGTGGCAATCATAGGTTTTGAGAAGCGGATTTGCAGAAAGTGAGATCACTGGATGCCTTTGCTGTAGCTAAAGCAAAAGACTAAAATATGTAGAAGAATGTGTTTATTCCCTTTTATGAGGAAATATGTAAGAATGTCTTATTATTTCAAATAAGAATGAACAAACAATAAACACAGACTCTCTTTATGAATAACATAGCATATGAATAAATCAGTCTCTAAACTATATACTTTCTTATTTGTTATTACTGCCAACAATGAGTTATCACATTCTCTAATTTACATGTCAAACAGGCAAAATCATATTCTTTTCTTGTAATTGTCTCCCTGCTTTATGTTATTTGCAAAGCTTATCAAGCAAAAATTCAATACCTCTCAAAGCAGTTGTACACCCTACTATGTCTCTAGAAATAAAACATTAGCACTTATTGTTTGTACTGGAAAAGCATTCTGGCTATTATACTGAATATGACAGTTATTGCCTCCCCCATTTAGTACATTTGGAGACCATAGTGTTACATTTATGAATAGTTTATGTATAATTGTGTTTTACTTTATGGAGTAAGATTACCATAGTTCCCCTAGAAGCTAAAACAGTATGGGGTGCTTACCTCAGAAACTGTAAACAACTCTAGAGATGTTTCACTCAATGGGCGTTTGCATAGACTGGTTCAGGAGGCATTTCCCAGACACTAAGAAACAAAGAAAAAGTTTTTGGCATAAAAACATAAACTTGAACTGACTCATAACTTTCTTTCTGTTTGAGCAAACAAATAGGCCCTTCTGTCCACGCAGAAATCCTCATTCAGCCATTGAGGAAGGGCTGGAAAGACTTTAGCCTACTAGGACTCCAAAAAGACTTATGGGTGGGTGACTTCTGGTGTGTTAATGTGTGTGTTAAATATGCTTATTTTTTATTCTGTTTTCTCAAAAAACGCCTTCCTTAAGCACGCATGTGCTGCTTAGAAACAGCTTCAAGATAACTTGTAAATGCTGAAAACACAGACTTCATAGACCTGGGAGGAAAGGCACTGACCATTAGGCAAGCTGGTTTGCTAAGAATATCAGTATAAGACAGGGAACTGTGCAGTCTTTATACCCCTGGCCAGAAGGAAGTGGGACATGGGTCCCTGGCCTGAGTCAGACAACCACTGGAGTCCTGAGACCTGATTGGAGTGGACCTCCTGGAGTGGACTGTGAAGGAAGAATATGGGTTCAGTTACCCTGAAACTGTGACACTGAACACACAAATGTCCTGCTTTTTCACAAGTAGTTTTTAAACTTGAATAGGGTTTACTTATTCATAGATCATTACCCAGAATCCGTTTGAAGCTCACAGCAATTACATATTAATGCTGTCGCCTGAGCCCTGGGAACAAACTGAAAAGCCTCCATGTGAGCCGAGATACAGAACACTTTCCCATATGCTTTGCAGGCCAGAGTTTTGGAAGGCTTTTTCCACCTTTAGCTTTCACAGCTTTGTTGTATTTGGGTTTTATACCCACTTGTCACCTTAAAAATGAAAACAGTATGCCCAGGATAGTACAAATAGTATATTCATATAAATATACTGTGACAATTTGTACTTGTTGTGGGAAAGGGTATTCTAATCTTTGTTTGACAGCATAATTCTCAGCCACTAATGTCTTACTGAGTGAATGCAGGAAATAATATCCTGTACTAGCTGCATTGTCTCTTATCTATGGGCTAAATCTTGGCTTTGTGACAAGCCGGAACCAGAATCTGCCTGCTGGATTTCCCCTTGCATTGTGTATAAGATAATGCAATGAACAGCTCTCCTACCTGGTGCAGGTAAGCCAATCATTCCAACTTATACTCCATTGCTCCTATGTGGCTGTGCTCGCTGAGCCATGCTTTACTACAATGGGAACGCATTCTCAACTGGGACCTGTGTGGGGTGCTACTATAATATAAATGTTTATTACTACTGGTGCAACTTCTACTAGTCATCATCTGAGATGTGGGAGAGCATGTGTTTCAACCTATATACACAAGACCCTAAGAGACCTTTACATTTAGGGTGCATCTATATTGCACCGTAACTCAAAATAAGATACGCAATTTGAGCTACCTATTCTGAAATGTTACCCTATGATTGTGAAGACCTGAGACTTCAGAGGGAAATTTTTCCTAGATTCTAAGATCATCAGACTTTATGAAGAAGAATTTTAAAAAATAATTATTTAGATAATAGGAAGAAAACTGAATGAATTATATAGAGAAGATAAAAGAATATCAGTATTTTCATGTATTTTTCTGTTTGTTTTGTGAAATAATCCAAAATATTTAAACAACTTGACTATAAGCGAATGCTCATATTTCTTATCAAATGACAGACTGGAAACATATGTGTAGACATCATAATAACATATGAATTTTCATGGACCAGACCCAGCCTCAAGCTAGTCCAGTGTCCTGTCTCTGGCAGTAGCCAGTGCCAGATGGTTTCACAGCAAATGTTAAGTAACTCTCATTATACAGTTGTTAGATAATCTGAACCCACATTAGGTCTCAACCTAATCTAATATTCAGAGATTAATTTAAATTTAGAAACATTAGATTTCTTCCAAAATGTATTAGTGTTAGTGTTAACTGTGACAACTCTGGATATACTTGTAACCCTAAAACTATCTAATTCCTTTATGAAACACATTAAATTCTTGGCCTCAATGATTTGGCCATGAGTTCCACAGTTTAATTGTGAGTTGTGTAAACAGTATTTCCTTTTAAATTTTCTATCATTTAATTGAACCCTTTTTCTTGTGTTATGAGACAGGCAGAATAGCAGTTCCTGACCTATCTTTTCCATACTGTTCATTATGTTATATTTTTCATGTCCACACATGGTAACAGTTTTTTAATGTCAGTACCACAGGACGGGATGCAGAGATAAATGTCATGACACCTTAAATGACTGCTTCTTGGAGCAGCTCATTCTGGAACCCACAAGGAAAGAGGCAATTCTTGATTTAGCTCTAAGTGGAGTGCAGGATCTGGTCCAAGAGGTAAATATAACTGGAATGCTTGGAAATAGTGACCATAATGTAATAAAATTTAACATCCCTGTGGTGGGAAAAGCATTTCAGCAGCCCAACACTGTGGCATTTAATTTAAAAAAGGGGAATTACACAAAAACGAGGAGGTTAGTTAAACAGAAATTAAAAGATACAGTGACAAAAGTAAAAGCCCTGCAAGCTTCATGGAAACTCTTCAAAGATATCATAGTAGAGGCACAACTTTAATGTATACCCCAAATTAAAAAACGCAGTAAGAAAACCAAAAAAGTGCCACCATGGCTTAACAATCAAGTAAAAGAAGCAGTGAGAGATAAAAAGGCATCATTTTAAAAGTGGAAGTCAAATCCCAGTGAGGAAAATAGAAAGGAGCATAAACTCTGTTAAATTAAGTATAAAAATATAATAAGAAAAGCCAAAAAAGAGTTTGAAGAACAGCTAGCTAAAAAATCAAAAAGTAATTGCAAAATATTTTTAAGTATAAGAGAAGTGGGAAGCCTGCTAAACACCCAATGAGGCCCTTGAATGATCGAGATGCTAAAGGAGCACTCAAAGATGATGAAGTCATTGCGAAGAAACTTAATGAATTCTTTGCTCTGGTCTTCATGGCTGAGGATGTTAGGGAGACACCCAAACTGAGCCATTCTTTTTAGGTGACAAATCTGATGAATTGCCCCAGAGAGGTGTTATTAGAGGAGGTTTTGGAACAAATTGATAAACTTAACAGTAACAAGTCACTGGAACCAGAGGGAATTCACTCAAGAATTCTGAAAGAACTCAAATGGGAAATTGCGGAAGTATTAACTATGGTTTGTAACTATCCTGTAAATCAGCTTCCGTACCTATTGACTGGAAGATAGCTAACATGATGCCAATATTTAAAAAGAGCTCTAGAGGTGATCCTGGCAATTACAGACCAGTAAATCTAACATCAGTACCAGGCAAATTACAGTAGACTTCCAATAATCCGGCACCTTTGGGACCTAGGTGGTGCTGGATTATAGGATATGCCTGAGTATTGGGAGGTACTCTGGCAGGGGGCTTTGACGGGTCTACCAGGACCTGCACTGCATCCAGAGGTGGGCGGGAAATGGCACGGTGAGGGGCGAACCCTCTGCCATTAAGGGGGGGGAAGCCCTGCGCCGCCGCCGAGAGTTTCCGGGAGGGGAGTGGGCTTCTCACCCCCCAGAGTGCAGTACTGTAGTTATTGCCGAGCAGGGGTGTGATTGGGACCTAGGTGGTGCTGGATTATAGGATATGCCTGAGTATTGGGAGGTACTCTGGCAGGGGGCTTTGACGGGTCTACCAGGACCTGCACTGCATCCAGAGGTGGGCGGGAAATGGCACGGTGAGGGGCGAACCCTCTGCCATTTTGCAGGAAGGCGGGGGAAGCCCTGCGCCGCCGCCGAGAGTTTCCGGGAGGGGAGTGGGCTTCTCACCCCCCAGAGTGCAGTACTGTAGTTATTGCCGAGCAGGGGTGTGAGGGGCTGTGGGACCAACCCGGCAGCACCCCAGCTGCTCTGCTCTGCAGCTTCCCCAAGTCCGCTGCTCGTCAGTTTTAGCAGCAGTGGACTTGGGGAAGCGGCACACGGAGCTGCTCTGCTCTACAGCTTCCCCAGGTCTGCCGCTCGTCAGTTTCAGCAGTGGTGGACTTGGGGAAGCGGAGCAGAGCAGAGCAGCTGGGGTGCTGCCCAGCTGGGGTACTACCGGGTTGGTCCCACACCCCCGCTCGGCGATAACTACTGCAATCTGGTGGTTGGGAAGCCCGTTCCCCTCCTGGAAACTCTCAGCCGTGGCATGGGGCTTCCCCCACCTTCCTGCAAAACGGCAGAGGGTTCGCCCTGTTCGCACCGCTCCCCGCCCACTCCCTTCCCCCTAGCTGGTTGCAGTGCGGGTCCTGGCAGACCCATCACAGGGGTATAATCCCCTTCCCTTCTTCTCCCATTCCCTTTTCCAGCCGGGAGCGCCCATGGGGCTCACAGCAGATCCAATTGTCCGGCTGGCTGGAGCACTTCCGGGTTCCAGTTGGTGCCAGACTATCGGGAGTGTCAGACCACTGTATGCCGGACAATTGGAGGTTTACTGTAGTTGAAACTATAGTAAAGAACAGAATTGTCAGAAACATAGACGAACATAATTTGTGGGGAAAAGTTAACATGGTTTCTGTAAAGGGAAATCATGCCTTACTAATCTACTAGAGTTCTTTGAGTGGGTCAACAAACATTTCGACAAGGGGATCCAGGGGATATAGTATACTTAGATTTCCAGAAAGCCTTTGACAAGGTCCCTCATCAAAGGCTCTTAAGTAAAGTAAATTGTAATGGAATAAGAGGGAAGGTCCTTTCATCAACTGATAACTGATTGAAAGACAGGAAACAAAGGGTAGAAATAAATGGTATATTTTCTGAGTGGAGAGAGGTAACTAGTAGTGTACCCCAAGGGTCTGTCCTGTCTTATTCAACATATTTATAAATGATCTGGAGAAAGGGGTAAGTAGTGAGGTGGCAAAATTTGCAGATGATACAAAACTGCTCAAGATAGTTACGACCAAAGCAGACTGTGAAGAGCTTCAAAAAGATCTCACCAGACTAATTTCCCTCCTACTTATGTGCTGTAATTTATGCTCCTATTTATTCACTTTGCTACGGTCAGATTTCCAAATTTTGATGGATTTTTATTTAGGTTGAACAACCTCTTGAATCTTCCCATTTAGCCATATTGGTTTACTCTTGACCTTCCTACTTCCCTTTCTCTGCAGCTGTAAACCTGCCTTCTGAGGCAATTATGAAACAAATTAGGAAAGTTCATGTTGTTTCCTTTTCTGTTTGCACCACTTTATTATAATTACAGACGAAATTCATGAATCGTACACGGAGCCCAGACATTTGGATTTTCTGAGAATTGCCTGAGAATTACAGAGAATCTGTTCCCTCAGGCTGCATAGTTGTAAAGCCGGTTTATGAGCTGGGCCAGTTACCATTACTTCCAGTCCATACTCCCAAGCTCTGCATCAACCTATTTGGGACTGCAGTGGCGTGCACTTAAACAGCACACAAGAACTTGCTGAAGTGTTCCTGGGTATTGCTCTCTCTGCAGTCTTCCAGGCACCATCATAAGTTTATGAGCTGCTGAAAATACCTTATTGGCCTTATGCAATGAGATAATTTCCACCCTAAATGATATCTCTCAAACCGACTTGATTAGAAAATAGGCCACTCCTTTTAATCTCCTCTTTTCCCCTTTTCATAAAACCTGACTCTTTATGGGAGATGTTGCCATAAGAAATGCTAAAACTGGAAACAAACAAGTAGGTATGTTAATAATTGCACTTCATCTACAGTCTCTCATACCTGAGTTTTTGTCACAAATGTAAAGCCCCTAAATCTTAAATTTATCAGTCTAGCCTTCAATATCATGATGGCTCTCCAGAGAGATAATCTAAGGGTATGTCTAGACTGCAGCACTATTTTGGGATACTGGAAGACTGCGGGTGCACTATTCCGGCATTCCTGTAACAGGGTTAAGGGATTTGTTGAAATTGTGCCTTATTTTGAAATTTGGCACTGTGCAGACAGCTCCAAATTTCCAAATAAGCTCTTTCGACCTAGACTCAGAATAAGCTATGCAATTTGCGTAGCACAAATTGCGTAGCTTATTCTGACAGAAGGGAGCTGTCTAGGCGCACCCTAAGATTAGAGAGCTGTATGAATCTTACTGAGGTCAGGCATTTAGCCTACAGTTTTCAAATGTGGAGGTTTAAAGTTAGAGAAAATAGGAGCTATGAATGCTGGGCACCTTTGAAAACCAAGCTACTGCTGTTTCAGTACCCACATATGGATTAAGGAACCTAATTGTAGGAACAGGATATGGAAAATGGGAGACATAGTATCCTATGCCTAGAATGATGTTCCAGTAAAATATGACACCTTATACACATAAGAAAGGACATATTAGACCAGACTATCTAGCCCAGTATCATGTCATCCAGTAGTGGCCAACTGCCAGGTGTGCCATTCATAGCAGGGATGCTCTGCCACAAAAAAGAATGGCACAGCAAAGCCAAGGCCCTGAAAAGCCCCTCACTTCTGATTTTCCAACTTACTTTTCTTTCTTTCTAGGGCCTCCTGGGGCATGAGCTCTACCAGGCTTCACCTTCCCAAGAAGCAGCAGCTCCAGCGCATGGCCCGCATACAAATGTCTCCTCTTGGCCCCCAGTCATTTAATCAAGGGCTCTCCTGGCAGTGTTCCGGGCTGCAGCTGAGGGAACGCTGCGCCCAGCGCAGGCTGGCTCCTGCTGGGCGCTTCCCCCTTCCCTGGCCATAGAGCCAGGTCCCTCGCGCCTTTCCCCGGTGTGAAGCGGGGCGCCACGGGCTCCCCTCCCGTGCACGAGGAGGGAGAGGAGCCGCCAGGCCAGGGCTCCCCCCCGGCCCCAGTCTGCTCCCTTCTCCCACCTCCCCCCACTGACCGAACTCCATCTCCTTTCCCTCTCCCCGCCAAACCCTTGTGTCCCCTCCCCACAGCACGCACAGAAACATGGGAGCGCCCTGGGGGAGGGGTGAAAGTGGGGGGGGTCCCCCTCCTTCCCTTGCTCTGCAGCTGTAAACACTGTTCCCCGGTGTGAAGGGGGCGCCGCGGCCTCCCCTCCTCTGCACAAGGAGAGAGAGGAGCCAGGGCTCGCCTTCAGCCACTGCAAGGGACTCTGTGATGGAGCGCAGCTGCCCGCCCCTGCCGCAGCAGGAAGCGGTGGAAGCCTGGCTGGACGATCACTCGGACTTCACCCGCTCGTATTTTGTTCGGAAAGCTACGAGGTAAGGGCAGCGAGGAGGCGGAGCCCCCCTCCCCACAGACGATCCCCGGGAGCTGCCTCCCCTTGAGCTCCTTTCCCCCCCACACACACCTTTCCCCTCCCGACAGCTGGCAAAAACCAAACCCACAGTCTTGTGCCGCTGCCACCCAAGTTCCCAGCAGCGGGTGCGACCTGGCTCTGCTTTCCTGGCCCAACCCCCAGCAGAGGGGATGGGTAGGGGGAGCTGCTGCCTCACCCCTCGGCATGGTTCCCAGTGGCCACAGGCTTTGCGTGCCCCACTGAACTCGCTGTCCCAGCCCCCACGCTTCTCCGTGTCCACAGAGCAGCAAGCCTGTATGGGGCGCTTGTCAGGAGCAGCTCTCCCCTCCCCCCTCCCATTCTCCCAGCTATAGGCTGGGCCCCACTAACCTCTGAGCTCTCTGCGGGCTGGGGGGCGGGTCACTCGCCGATTCCCAAAGTGCCACTGCTCTTGGGCTTGACACCTCAGCAGGAGAGGGGCCGAGCGGGTTTTGGCCTGGGTGGGTTGCGGGTGGTGGAGAACCGGCGGGGTGCTGCATTGGAGGGGAGAGAGCTAGAGTGGGGAGGGGGGCGAGGTCTGGCCAGTTCAGGGCTTGGGGCCGGGGCTGCTTCTGCAGTCGGAGGGGGAAGTAGGGGTTCCCTCCATGCCCCGTACTGAGGCGCGGACCCTTCTTCCCAGGTGTCCGCGTGGGGCAGCAAGAGTGTGCGCTCCCCCTGCAGGCCGCTGGTTCCACTGCCCCGCCCGTTGCCCTGGGTGGCCACAGGGCGTGCCCGTGTGGGGTGGTGAGGCTGGCCAGAATGCCGCCCCTGGCCACATGTCGCCCCAAGCACCTGCTTGGTTTGCTGGTGCCTAGAGCCGGCCCTGATAAGGTGGCGGCTACCTTGTGGAGCCTCAGACCACTCCTTGTGTGGAGACCTGCAAATCTACAGATATCTGCGTCCACGGATAATTTTTTAAGATCTGATGTTGATACTAGGGACCTGATAGTGTAACTGTGTACACTGTTAATGAGTCTTGGCTCATCAGTTAACCTTCACAGTTACACACAGGCTCCTGGTATGCCCAGGAAGCCGGCTCCTCCCTCCTCCGCATTGTTGCCTCTGTATCAGAGGTAGCAGTACAGGGGGATGAGTGTGTGGTGAGTGTCCCACATGTAACCGTATACCAGTTACATGTTTAAGTAAATGCATTTTAACATCCCTAGCTGATACAGATTTTTTTGTTATCTGAACAGAACTCTATAATTCTGTAAGGCAATTTTTCAGTAATTTTCTATGATACTTCAGTATTCTTATGTCTTATTTGTAGGCAAGAAGTTTTTAAGTGAGTTGAAACCTGGGGATATGGGGAAGACAGATTCCTGAAAGGGGCATAGTAGTCTGAAAAAGGTCTAGAAAACAGACCATTTCAGTTTGGGTAGTGGCTGAAGAGATTTGCTCAGTACATATTTATCAGTTACTTGGTAATGAGCACTTAGTCTTGTGTGAAATCACTAGATTGCAAGGACTTCACATGATCACTTTCTTAAAGCTGTTCAGTCTTTGTTCTGAACTCATCATACCCATCAACCATCACTTCTGTGTCTTCTGTTTTAATCTCTGCCTCCTTTTATCTTGCACCAAAATTTATAGTTTCCTGGAGATTAACAGTGGAAAGAAATCCATTGCACAATATTGGAAGTAAATATTATTTGAAATTTGACTCCACTTCTGTATAGTGTTTTAACAGATCAAAGCTTGTAGGAATAATTAGCTTGAAAATGTGACATCAAGTCATTTGTTATTCTTGACTGACTTTTCTGCATTATCAATGGTTTAGTTCTTCTGATAGAAATAGGAGCATGACTGTGGGAAAACACTATGAAAAGTCTGTGATCAGCCCTTCATAAGAATGGTCACATTGGGTCAGACGAAATGTACATCTAGCCCAGTATCCAGTGCTAGAGGTTTCAGAGGGAATAAACAATAGGGCAGTTTATCAAAGTATCATAGAATCATAGAATCATAGAACTGGAAGAGACCTCAGAAGGTCATCAAGTCCAGCCCCCTGCTCTAGGCAGGACCAATTCCAACTAAATCAACCCGGCCAGGGCTTTGTCAAGCCGAGACTTAAACACTTCTAGGGATGGTGACTCCACTGCTTCCCTAGGTAACCCATTCCAGTGCTTCACCACCCTCCTAGTGAAATAGTTTTTCCTAATATCTAACCTGGACCTCTCCCACCACAACTTGAGACCATTGCTCCTTGTTCTGCCATCTGTCACTACTGAGAACAGCCTCTCTCCATCCTCTTTGGAACCATCCCCTCTTGTTCAGTTGCAGCTTCTGGCAGTAAGTGCTTTAGGGACATCCAGAGCACAGGGTTGCTTCTCTGACCCTCTTGCCTAATAGCCATTGATGGACCTATCCTCTAAACTTATCTGAGTCTTTTTTTTTTAAACTCAGATATACGTCTGGGCTTCACCACATCCCCTGGCAGTGAGTTCCACAGGTTGTGAACTGTATGAAGAAGTACTTGTTTTTGTTTGTTTTAAACCTGCTGCCTATTGATTCCGTTGGTTTGACTAGTTTCTTGTTTAAATGGGGGGTAAATCACACTTCCGTATTTACATTCTCTGTACCATTTATGATGTTATAGAACTCTATCATACTCTCCCCTCAGTTGTCTTTTTTTATTTCTAAGCTCAACAATCCCATGTTCAGCTGGCCATGGAGATGGGAGACTCTGTATCTAACTGTATGAAGCCACTTACATAATTGTTCTCCGTGTTAATTTTTTTTCATTACCTTCCTATTTCTCTTATGCTATTAGCTGAGGATGACTGGTGAAGGCTCACTTTGAATGTTGTTTTAGGTTCACATATTTTTGCTGTACGTTCAGTGATTCTACTGATTAACAAGCTGTTAGTCCTTAAGATGAGATTTTTCTTTAAGACAGCTTATGCAAACCAAATATATTGATCAAAAGAAAAGTTTGATACTTAAAATTTCCTTGGGATGTGCGTTCCGAGACCTGAGCAGCCAATCTTATTCTTTAATTAGACAACCAAAAAGAGCTAGATTGATTCATGGAGATTAGGTCCATTCATGACTGTTAGCCAGGATGGTTAGGAATGGTGTCTCTAGTCTGGAAATGGATGACAGGAGAGGAATCACATGATGATTACCTGTTGTGTTCCCTCCCTCTGGGGCATCTGGTATTGGGCACTGTTGGCAGACAGGATACTGGGCTAGATGGACCTTTGGTCTGACCCATTATGGCTGTTCTTATGTTATGACCATTGTCGTGAGTGATTCCAGATATTACAGCATTAAGCAAACTGTCATGCATCATTATGACATTGCATCAGAATCCAGACTGACTAATTCTCCCTTACCTCAAATCACTTCGGGTTCTGATCTTCCAAGTTATGCAGGGTCATACCTGGTTAGTATTTCAATTAGAGAAGTCAAATTAAAACTCTGCTGCAGGAAATAATATTAGTGATTCAGTAAGTGAGCTGATATTTAACATTAAACCTGTGTCCAGGATGTGGTATTAGAAGATGCATTAGTGTTGAAACTGCAGTCTAGTATTTGTTTGTGGTAACTGAAGGTTCCACAGCATTTTTGAAAGTGAAGATGTTAATTAGGAGCTCCTGTCCAAATTCAGATTTTTAGTGACTATATTCTTTCTACCTTTTAATTTTCACCACTCAAAGGTGCCTTTTATGAGGCACTAGGAGGGCATTAACCCCCCTCCCAAGTTTGAATTCCTGATGATCATACTAAAGGTTTGCTTAAAGGCCATATCCTAACTTCAGAGGTAGTTCTTAAATGCAACTGAGTTTGACTGCTTGCAGCTTTGCCTTTGGGGCAGGGATTTTGTTATAAAAAGATGGAGGCAGGGTGATTAAGAATAACAAAAGGCCAAAGGCTGAACATTCAAGCAATTGAAGGATTGTTGGATCACCAGGAAACTTTTTTGCTGGATAATCCACTTAAGATAGTGGGAGTGGGGGTGGGAGGAAGAATAGGACTGAGTATTGTGCTGCAGGGATCTGTATTTGGATCGCTGCTGTTAAATTTTTCATAAATGTTCTTGAAAAAGGGGTAAACAGTGACGAATCCAAAGATGACTGCCAAGAGTTACAAAGGGACCTCACAAAACTAGGTTATTGGGCAACACAAGGGCAGATGGAATTAAGTGTTAAGTGCAAAGTAATGCACACAGGGAAAATATAATCCTAACTATACATACAAAATGATGGGGTCTAAAATAGCTGTTTCTACTGAAGAAAAATCTTGGAATCCTTGTGGGTAGTTCCCTGAAAACATCTGCTTAATGTGTAGTGGCAGTCTAAAAACTAAAAAGCTAACAGAATATTGGGAATGATTAATAAACGAATAGCTAAGACAAAATACCATATTGCCTCTATAGAAAGTCATTGTATGCCCACATCTTGAATACTGTATGCAGATCTAGTCACTCCATCTAAAAAAAGGATATATTGTGTTTGGAAAAGGTACAGAAAGGGCAACAAAAATTATTGGGGGGGAAGGAACATTTTTTTATCGGAGGAGAGATTAATAAGACTTGGACTTTTCTGCTTAGAAAAGAAATTATTAAAGGGTGGGGGGATGTGCTAGATGTCTAGAAAATCATGAATGAAGTGGAAAGACAGAATAAGGAAATGCTATTAATTCCTTCACTAACATAACACAAGAAGCTGACCCCAGTTAAATTTATAGGCAGCATATTTAAAACAAACAAAATAGGTGACAGGGGATAGACCCTGATGATTGCCTCTTCAGTTCATCCCTTCTGAAGTACTTGGCATTAGCCATTGTTGGAAGACAGGACACAGGGCTAGATACTTGGTTTTATTCAGTATGGCCATTCTGATGTTATTGTATAGAGCTGAAATGTATCTGCCCTTCCAGAGCTGAGAGCGAACCCAGGAGTCCTGACGGTGTCTCTATCCACAGAGTTAGTAACAGAGTAAGAATATATATTAAAATTTTAAGGCTAACCAGTGTCTGTTAAGAGACTTGCCACAAGATGTCAGAATATGCTAGTGTTAGAGCTGAGTGGATCTAATAGTTATTTAATTTTCGTTCTTTCATGTAGGAATTAGATACAGTGCTCCTGTCAGCTAACTGCTAAGTTGTCTGCCAAAAAAGTAGAGAGTTTCCAATGCATTCGTGGTTAGCCCCTGAATAGAGATGAGGAGTGGGGTTGGGTGGGTGGATGGGGTTGGTTCCCCCATCCCCATTTGGTGGTTGGCTTGTACTGAGCATGCTCAGTAACACTGCTGAAGCCTCTGTCCTCGAGCCACTCCTCCTCAAGCTCTCACTCTCTTCGACCCCGCACATCACAGAATGCACAGGTTGCTCCCCCCACCAAAATCTGAAATGGCACT